TAAAAATTTGTATGCACCGTGGGCATTAATAGCTGTGTATATCTTCTGACGACTTATAAACACTCGGCCAGAGGCTCACGTATTTGTAAGATAGTCGCACTCGGGCATAAACAACTATTTAATGCCCGTGGTAGATAAATAACTATTACATTTGAAAATATTTTTTTGATTAATTTTTAATTTTATTTTAGCTTAATCCAAGGAAAATATACATTGTCCGCTCTGCTTCTGACAGCTACGTTAGCTTTGGCGTTCCTGGCGAGGCACGTAGGTATCAAAAAAGAAAATATTTTACTTATTTACGTTACAATTTGATAAGGAAAATACGTTAAAGTATTTTATGCTACTAACAAGTTAAGTTCAGTTAAGATAAAAATTTCTAGAAATACCGTTTCCGTCAGCTTTAGAAAACCAAAGTTTATTAATATCTTGGATGGCATCATTAATTAGTGATTTCCATCAGAGTCCAAGTAGTAGATAATAAGCCACTTTAGCACAGAACCTCTGCGGCTCGAATCGTATTCGCACTTGCTTCACGTATGTCTATTGTTTCGCGAAATATGATTATGGGTCAGTCAGACATTCAATTTTAGGATCTAATACATTCCATTTTTTAAATCGTATAAAAAAAACTACAGGGTTAGGGCCGCATTTTCTATCTCAAATCCCATAAGAAGTTCCTAAGGTTCATTCTGCTTATTTTTTTGAGCGTTTTGTGTTGGGGTAGAATAGTTCATTGGATTTTGACCTATGATACATCATTGGAAAGGAGAGGAGGTAGCGAATATGTTGAAACAGAAAAACATACATGGTTATTATTGGGACGATTGGGGCGTGTAATGAATTAAATTAAAAGGGAGGGGATAACGATTATAATAAGATGTATTAGAATATTAAGAAAAAATATTAAAATTTTTTGAAAATTATGAATAAAGACGAAGTAAAAAGACGTACCTTGATCTTCAACAATATATACCAAAGTGGAAAAATACCCCAACAGTGGCTAAGATCAACTTTTATAACAATCCCTAAAAAACCCAATGCCAAAAAATGTGAAGATTATCGAATAATAAGCCTTATGAGCCATATCCTGAAAACTTTTTTAAAAATTACAAATAAAAGAATATATAAAACGTGTGAAAAACAAATGACAAACACACAATTCGGCTTCAGGGATGCATTGGGTACTTGAGAGGCACTTTTTGCAATACAAGTTCTCTTTCAAAGATGTAGAGACGTGAATTATGATATATATCTGTGTTTTGTGGATTACCAGAAAGCGTTTGACAGAATAAAACGTGAAGAACTAATGAAAATATTAAATTCAATTGGTCTAGACAGCAGAGATCGCCGTATAATAAACAATATCTATTAGGAACAAACTGGACATCTAGCGCTAACGGACATAGACGAGGGAATACTTATAAATGGAGAACGATTGAACAACATAAGATACGCTGATGATACTGTCATTTTTGCAAAAAGTCTTGAAGGTCTGCAGAAACACTGCAGTCTCCAGGGTGGCAGAAGTAAGTAGCAGGTTTGGGCTTGATTTTAACATCAAAAAAACCAAATACAAGGTTATAAGCAAAAATAGGATACCACCTAGTCAATTACTAGTTAACCAACAACCTATAACAAAAATCACGAACTTTTGTTATCTGCAAACTTAAATGAACAGTGGGACCAATCGACGGAAATTAAAATAAGGATCGAGAAGGCAAGATTAGCTTTCGTCAAAATGAAAAAAATCTTTAACAGCCACGACATAAAATTGGTCGTTGGACATATTGGAAATAAAAGTTCGTTTACTAAAATGCTACTTATTTTAAGTTCTTTTATATGGCGTAGAGTCATGGACCTTAACTGAATCATCACTGAAGAGACTTGAAGCATTTGAGATGTGGTGCTATAGACGCATGTTGAGTATTTCTTGGATAGACAGAATTACCAACGAAGAAGTACTACATAGAATGGGTAAAGAGCGCGAACTAGTCATAACCATAAAACGTCGCAAACTAGAATACCTGGGCCATACTTCGGACCGTACATCAAGGTAAAGTGCATGGGAAAAGAGGTCCAGGACGGAGAAGAATATCCTGGCTGCATAACCTGCGAAAGTGGTTTAACTTAACCACTACTGGACTTTTCAGGAGATCAGTCAACAAAGTCAGAATAGCCATGTTATTGTCCAACATCCGTAACGGATAGGCACCATAAGAAGAAAGAAAATATAATTATAAGTTATTATTGAACGTATAGATACCTACGAGATAGTTCGTGGCATATAAGTGATAAGAGACACTCCATAAGGTAAATTGGCTTTATTGACCTGAAGAAGGCCTTTGACATAGTACACAATGAATAACCAACCGAATCCTTTCATATAAAACATCACAACGTGAGACGTCTAGTACATATAATATATACATATATCGGGGTGACTGTCAAACGTAAAATTTTTTTAAATGTGCGAAATTTATATTGTAAGTAAGTTTTCTAAAAATTTTTAATTTTCTGTGGTTTTTTCCTAAAGTTTCTTTCTTTAAGATAATTTTATACAGTATAAGAAAACTACAAAAAGATGAACAAAATTAGTAAAGTCGTTTTCAAGTTATGGCGTAACATACTATTCCAGTCGTAAGAGACGAAAATGCCACTGAACTTTTAAAAATCACACGTATAAGCTGAATTTTAACGATAATATGAATTTTGGGACCTTAAAATGGATGCAATAAAGTGTACCACTTTTACCCCTGGGCTTCCCCTAAAACCTCCTAGTAGGGGGGTAAAAACACAAAAAAATCGATTTATCAATAATCTGTACGTCGTAGAAAAAGTGTTTCAAATAAAAAATGTAGCTGAGGCAATTCTAAACAAAAACGGTTATAAGCACTTTTTGTTTAGAATGAACCGTTCTTTTAGAAACAACGCTTGAATCGGCCGTCAATTTTGAATGTCTGTTACGCGCGCGAAATCGATGTTCAACAAAATGTGTCTCCTAAAAATGGCAAAAATCGCGACACGTTTATTTATTAAATATAGTTCGTATTGAAGAGGATTTTTTACACAAACAAGTCAGGAATTTCTACCAAGAAATAAAACGAGACCGAACCCAGTACAAAACCACATCAAGATATTATAAAGATAAAGGAGAATCTGTTAGGTGGAACAGATGAAAGATTAAGAAGGTCGCCCAAATATTTCGAGAACATATTATGTACGGATGATCAATATGAAAGAGAACAAACGTAACTACAACATGAAGAAGTAAGGGACCCAGATGTAAATGAAGACGTAGCTACCAAGGAAGAAATTATAGAGATCATAAAAAACTTAAAAAACAACAAAGCACCCGGTGAAAATGGTATCATTGCTGAGTTTCTAAAAGAAGGTGGCGAACTGGTGCAAGAAGAAATCGCTTCCCATAAAATACCCATAATCAGTGAAAAGAAGCAATCTTATGTCCAGTGCATAAAAAAGGAGACGTCACAGAATGTAAAAATTGCAGGGAAATAGCTCTACAAGATACAGTGTATAAGATTCTGGCCATGTCAATTAAAAATAAAATTAAAATAAAAGTTGAAAATTGTCTAGGTGAATATCAAGCAGGTTTCAGAGCAAACAGATCGATAATAGACCAAATTTTTACAATGAAACAAATTTTAGCTAGCTCATATGAATTCAACCTAACATTGCATATGCTGTATATTGATTTTAGACAGGCATATGATAGTATAAAAAGAAATAAAGTATATGAAGCACTAGAATATTTTGAATTTCCACCAAAAATAGTAAGACTGACTAAATGCATACTCAATGATACTAAAAGTAAAGTCATGTTAGAAGGACGGATTTCGGATAGCTTTGTCACCAATAGAGGTCTGCGACAAGGTGACCCCTTATCAACAGAATTTTTCAATTTGATATTAGAGAAGATTTTACGAGAATGTAACATCTACACTAGAGGCACAATATATCATCACAGGCATCAATGCGTAGCATATGCAGATGATGTTACCTTAATACCAAGGAGACCTGCAGAATTAAGAGAAATCTTTACTAGATAAGAGAGAATAGCCAAGGAATATGGTTTAGAAATAAACGAAGAAAAAACAAAATATATGGTGATGAGGGGAAACGAAAATACAATTCGATTACTTGGGAGTGACACTAACAAAGAGGAACGAAGAGAACCAAGAAGTTATAAAAATAATGGCCAAAGGTAGTAAGAGTGCTGGGGGCCCGACTAAGATACTAAGGTCGAAGATAATATCCAGAACAGCATAAAAACGAATATTTACAACAGTTATCCGACCTACAGGACTCTATGCTAGACAGACCTGGACACTAAATAAAGATATGGAAGTAAAATTAGATAGATGGGAACGAAAAGTTCTTAGAAGGATAAACGGAGGTGTAAAAGAGGGGAACATCTGGCTAAGAAGAACGAATGAAGAAATAATACAAATATATGGGCAACCAAAAATAACAAGACTCGCTAAAATTCAAAGATCAAGATGGCTCAGACATATAGCAAGAATGAAGGAAGGAAAAGTTCCCAATGAATAAATAAACACGGAGGCTAGTACAAAAAGAAAAAGAGGCCGCCCCCGAAGAAAATGGCTGGAGTCGGCAAAAGAAGATATGAAGTCGCTGCGGGTACAAGATTGGAAAAACTTAGCACAAGATAGAAAGAAATGGAAGAAAACCGTTGAAGCCTTGGGCCTTTGTGGCTTGTTGAGCTGAACTATATATATACGAGGAAGGTTTTAGGGGAAGCCCAGGGGTAAAAGTGTTAAACTTTTCTGCATCTTTTTTAGCGTCCCAAAATTATCATTCTCGGCAAAATTAAGCTTGTTCGTATGATTTTTAGGGATCAATCTCTGAGGACGGGACTATACGGAAATGTGGATTTATTTTTATATAATAGATGGAAATTTATATTAAGTATACGTTTGCTTAGTACTATAATTGATAGAAATTATTGTTGTTTTTAGATGGAGAAGGTGTCTAGAGTATTGTTTCTTTGGAGATGTGAAGTAGAAGAACAAAGAGATTGTGCGGAAGATATGAGAAGAAGAAACGAAGCATTAGTTTATAATATTCTACCTCCTCACGTAGCTGCTCATTTTATGGGAAACAGAAAGAGACAACATGACGAATTATATTCCCAAAGTTACGCAGAAGTTGGAGTTTTGTTTGCTTCGATGCCAAATTTTTCAGGTAATGTAATAAAATTTTATTAAACAATAGTAACAGTAGTTGTGTTCTTAGTGTTTTATTTCCAAAAATAAGTAATTTTTGACCATCAAAAACTGTGATTCTAGCTTTAAAGATTGTAATGACCAGATTGTAATGACCAGACATTATGTTTACTCACTACTTTACTTTTACTTTTTTAACTGTCTAATCTGTATCCTACACAAGTTAATAAATATGCATTTTCTTTGTTAGATTTTTATTCCGAAGAAACTGTCAACAATCAAGGATTAGAGTGCCTAAGGTTTTTAAATGAGGTGATATCTGATTTTGATGCGGTAAGTTTTTTATACTTATATAACATATTTTATTTAGAGTTTCATTAAAGCTTTTTTTAAGCAGAAAAGAAAAAATTGAGAGCAAGACCTCAATAATTGTAATAAATATTTATGTATTTTGTAGCTTTTGGAGTTACCCCAGTTTCAAGATGTTATAAAAATTAAGACAATAGGATCTACATATATGGCTGCTAGTGGCCTAAACCCTTCTAGACAAATGAAGGTAAAATTTTATATCTTTATTTTCATTATTTCGTTTCTATAGATTTAGCTTATTCTCATAACTTTTAGTTTACAAAAAGTCAACAAAAAATTTTCCGTTCACTTTGAAAACAGACACTCATAACTAAATACCAAAATATCTGGAATTAACACCTATCAGAACTGTTAATATTAAAGAACACCTACAATGAACGGCAGCAAAACTAAAAATGTGAAATAATATAATCCAAAAGATATGAGGCACAACGTAAAGTTCCTCAAGCTCCGTACACAGATTATCTGTTCTCGGTATACTCGACAGCTAAATATGCTTCCACGGTATTGCTCAATAGCAAACACACGAAGAATTTTAACCCCAATTAAACCAATTTGTAAGTGTTTATTTGTTGACACCCAATTTTATAACTGTTTATTTGTTTACAGCCTGAAGATCCGATTCATGTTCGCTGGGCACATTTAGCAATCTTGGTAGAGTTTGCTTTGGAACTGAAAAAAGCCCTGCAGAGCATTAACGAACAATCATTTAACCATTTTGTATTAAAATTAGGAATTAATCATGGGCCTATTACTGCAGGTGTAATTGGAGCGAGAAAACCTCATTATGATATATGGGGTAATACCGTAAACGTAGCTTCGCGAATGGAAAGCACGGGAAAAGCTGGATGTATACAGGTAAAGACTTACGCAAAATATTTTATGTGTATTTTGTATGTAATTTTGTAATTTTATTGATAAATATTAAGTAATCCCCTATCCTTTTCTAAAAATGGCCCAAAAGCCTTTTTTGGAACCTAGGACACCAGCAAAAAAAGTTTTTTAAACCAACTTCAACGAAATTTTATTCTCGTTAAATGTTTTGTTTTACTAATTATAGGACAATTATTCATAATAGGATTTTCTGTACACTTCATAAACTTTGTTGATCTGAAGCAATTTCGTGCACTGTGGTCGAACACTTGGAAGTTGCAGCACTGCGTAGCTCTTTATAGCCTAATGTATGAGTTTCACTTTATTCTAATGTTTTGAAAACCGTTGTTTTTCCTCTAAATCCCTATGATCCTAAGATTTTAAATCATGAATACCTTCATGAAAAGAATTTTAATTCTTTTACTTATCCTGAGATTTATTTAACCGGATTAGGTATAAACTTCCTATCTTACCATGTTCCCATGGCCTCATTTTTACCTTGGCATCTACTCCTTCTTCCTTAAATTCCTTCTGCATTTTTAACATGTCCATTGTCCATGCTAAGAGCCGCTTTCAGTATAATTTGTTCATTATTTCTTCTTTTCGGGTAAAGTATATAAGGTATAGATACATGCCTTTTGTTATTAGATCCTCTTTGAGCTTATTATAGTTCTGGCTAGTTTTTCTGTCCTATTTAAGTATATAGGACGGTTGGTGAGATTCTTTGTCCACTTATTACATTTTGATTTTCAGTGCTAATGTGTCCTGTCTGTAACGTCTGAGGTAGATAAGGCATAAAATGCGGATGAAATAAAATAAACCACCTAGAAAAAGGCTCCTGATAGACCCATTGGTCAGAAAAAAGGGGAAGACCTATACGCAGACGATATCTGCCTATTAGGTCAAAGGTTCCAAGATCTGGCATTTACTATCGAAAGGCATTTACTATCGAAAATATGCAGATTGAAAATATGGAAACTTTACGTATCTTGGAAGTGTTATAACAAAAACGGAGATACAGCAGATGATATTCGTATGAGGATAAGAAAAGCCCAACAAGCTTTCAGCACGCTCAACCCTGTTTGGAGATCTGGCGAGTATACTACAAGGCCAAAGATCCGAATATTCCGATCAAATGTCATGTCTGTTCTTCTCTACGGATGTAAAACTTGGAAAGTGACAAACACTCTCACAGACAAACTTCAGGTCTTTGTTAACAAACGTTTACGAATAATTGTTCGTATATTCTGGCCTAATACCATCAGAAACGAAGATCTGCTACACCTTACCGAACAAAAGAGGGTACAAAATGAAAGTAAGTCCAGAAAGTGGGGTTGGATCGGTCACAGGCTCCGAAGAAATAGTTCCAGTATTGCAAAGACTGCCCTAGAGTGGAATCACCAAGGAAAAAGAAACAGAGGTCGCCCAGTACAAACTTGGAGAAGATCCATCATGGACAAGATAAGAGGCCAAGGAAAGTCTTGGAATTAGATGAAGGCCTTAGCGCAAAATAGAACCTGATGGCGCGTTTTCGCACATTTAGAGTGAATACGCAAATATTAATGAATGCTTGATGCATTTTGAGGTAGATGTAAATTTAGGCAATACATAGCCAATAAGCCGGAAAAATTTGGGATCAAAATATATGCGTTGGTAGATGTTAGAATGTTTTGTGTTGCAAATATGGAAATTTTTGCAAGTAAGCAACCAAATGGGCCATTTCAATTTCCAAATTACGCCAAAAGTGTAGTAAAAAGGTTCATAGACCCAACAGATAATTCAGAAAAAAATATTACCCCAGATAATTACTACACGTTAGTTGATCTTGCCAATAATATATTTCTAAATCATAAATTAACTGTAGTCATCATCAAAATTTGGCTCTACAACTCTATGTGAGTCTTAGCCGCGTTTATTATTTCCCTTCATTGTTGTCAGTTATTTCCCATTGCTGTATTCCCATTTTGCGTAGATTACTGGCTACTGCGTCCTTCCACCTCTTTCTTGGGCGACCAACTGACCTTCTGCCATCGGTCTTTCCCAGAATGTGGCATTCAGGAGTCTTTCGTCACTCGATTTTATTACGATCTAATTAACTGTAGTGATTATAAATAAATTCTTGGTCGTTTAGTTCCGAGAAATAAGTCCAATGTTCTTGTATGGAGATAAAAAACTAAAACAATCACTGCCTGTTAGTGTCCTAAAATCCTAAAAAAAACGGAAGGTTTTTTGTGGAGATATCACCATCGTGGAAGGTTGATGTTGTCAACCTTCCACGATGGTGTTTCTATAGATCAACGTTATGGAGAACAGCATAAACCTGATGTCTTAAGGTACACAGTTCATGTTGTAGATCGTCTATAAACAGAATATTCAGTAATATCGAAAATGTGACAAGTCGAAAGACCTATATTATGGATCAAGAAATAAAACCTTGAATTAACTCATTTGATTCGACGAGTGTCCATAGCACAATTGTGACAATTTTTGTCAAAAGATTCAAACAGTAACAGCTGTCACAACAAAGGTTGAAGTACTGCGCAGAACAGCAGAAATAAAACCTGAAACCAAGATGTGCATACTGTCTAGTAAGAAAAAATCGTTTTATACAAAACTATTGCAGAGATCGTAACAAACCAATTTGGCAAACATTCAGAAAGTATAATAAAGATGATGGATTTTGAGAAGAGCTATGAGTCATGGGGATGCAGTACATGAGTTTACCTATTAGTTACAAGATCATAGCTCTTGTCAAAATCTATTACCTTTATTTAGTTTATTTGGATGCAGTGTACAAAACACTAAATTAAATTGATATAAGGTTGAATGCTAGAACAAATGAACTTTGAAAAATTAAAGGAAAATATCGAGCACAATTTTAATAATCAAATCTTGCCCAAATACTTTCGCTATATATATCATCATCAGGGGTATTTCGTCAAATTTGGGCTATCCAGCAAGCTCAGAATATAATAAACATGAAATTTAACATAAATAAAATACATAACACTACACTAAAATAAGGACAAACAGTTTAAAATTATTTAAAAATTATTCTAAGCTCTTCATTCTTGTCGGCAACAAAAGAGAGAAATTATGTTAAATTTCATGTTTACTACATTCTGCGCTTGCTGGATAGCCCAAATTTGACAAAATGCCCCTAATGATGCTGTAGATAGCAAGAGTACTTGGGCAACATTTCATCATTATCACGTAGCGCTACAACTCTAAGTGGTCTTGGCTGACTGTATCAACTTTTTTCCAATTTGTTCGGTCTTCCATCAACCTAGGGTCAAATGGGATGTTCATTTTCCGGAGATCTGCTTGGATGTTATCTCTCCATCGCATTATGGGACGTCCGAGTGGTCTTTTGCCTGTGGGAATCTCCTCCCATATCTGTTTTACAAGTTTCTCGTTATGCAGTCTGTGCACGTGGCCTGCCCATCTTAGTCGCTGTGATTTAATTGCTTGTGAAATATCGGCGTCGTTGTAGAGTGCTTTTAATTCCATATTTGTTCTGATCATATACTGGTTTGTGGTGATATCATGGTGAGGTCCGAAAATTTTTCTAAGTATTTTTCGTTCAAACGTCTGAGCTTTTCTTGGTTTGCTTTGGTCATGGTCCACGTTTCGCATCCGTATGTTATTACAGGTCTGACGATGGATTTATAGATTTTGACCTTTGAACTTCTTGTGAAATTTTTTGATTTTATGAGCTTATACAGTGCAAATAGAAAGCGGTTTGCAGATTTAATTCTGTCTTTTATTTCTTCAGTGACATCGTTGTCAGCTATGATTACGGCCACCAAATACTTAAAACGTTGTACTCTTTCGAAATTGAAGGTGTTGACCGTGACATTTTGTCCTATTCTGTCTCTTCGTGTCGTTCTACTTATATACATATATTTCGTCTTCTCTTTATTAATCTTCAGCCCTACTTCACTTGTTGCTCCTTCCACCTTGTTGAAAATGTCTTTGTGGATAGGATGGAGTCTTCAACGAGATCTATGTCATCTGCATATGCGAGTAACAGCATGGGACCTTGAACCGATAGCAATTCTGTTTTTATTTCTGTAAAATAGTTTCGAAACACAATTCAGATTTCGGCTTTTATCTGTGCTTTCTAAAAATTGCAAAGCAAAACAGACGTTGATAAAGGTGTTAAAAGAGACAGAGAAGGATTTTCTGCGTAGTTGAAAAGATGTGTCGTGGAATGCAAATTTTAGATTCCCCACGTCTCTTTCAACACCTTTATGAACGTCTGTTTTGCTTTGCAATTTTTAGAAAGCACAGATAAAAGCCGAAATCTGAATTGTGTTTCGAAACTATTTTACGGTTTTATTGTCAGATGTCGCTATTGCGCCCGTATTGAAGCCATTTTAGTGTTGCTTCTTAAAAGACAAAAAATATTGATCTTTCACGTTAAGAACACCTTTGAATAACTGTTATGATGAGACCTATTATGTCGAAATACGTATTAACAGATACAAAGGCGCTGTTTGCCTGAAATCAAATATTTGCTGTCTTTTTTTACTAAAATTTTATTACTTGTAAGCTGAATTTTGTTGGTTTGTAGTTTATTAATTAGTTTTGTGTATTAAACACATGCATTTTTTAATTTTTGAGTTTAATTTACACTGAACAATGTTTTAGATAAAATCTAACGGCTCAGTAATCTTGCTACACATGGGAAGGTCAGTGATCGCGAGTTAGGGATAATTCTCATGTAAAGTATCCGTGATACCTTTACTGAGATTTCTAAGTGAATCTAGTCTATAAACAATCAGTAAAACTATTAAAAAGTAGATCACAATCTTAAAATTAAATCGACAATGAGACTAACTAGTCCAAATGTTAGAGTATAGACTAGTGTTTATTTAAAAGAAAAAGAAAAAATTTGCAACTATTTAACATTATTTTTTAATAATAATAAACTTGTGAAAAACATATTTCTTACTTAAATTATTTATTAACATTTATTTAATTTTATAATACAAATGAATTTTAAGTAAACAATATTTTATTATGAGTTAATAAATATTTATTCGTATTCTAGGTAACAGAAGAAACCTGTGAAATTCTTCAACATTTTGGATACCAATTCGAACAAAGAGGCCTAGTTGCAGTAAAAGGAAAAGGCCAACTTATGACCTATTATTTATTAGGAAAAGCTGGAAAAATAACCCCACCCACAGCACCAGTGTCTCCGATTGCTGGAGTAGGAACTATGGAAACAGTTAATGAAGAAGACGAGTCACACGACAGTCCAACATCCAAGTCTGATGATAAAACTGTAATCGAATGCTCTGAGAAGATGGATGATGATGTATTTACGTCAGATTCTGGATGTGAAGAGCCTAAAGAACTAAATGAAGCTTCTCTTTTATTAAGTTAAAAAAATTTAATACATACAATTTTTATTATTTTTGATTTTTGTATAGAATTAAGTTTAGAAAGTTTACCTAGGAAATAATTATATTGTAAAAAAAAGGTTATGATATCTTTGTGTTCAGACATTTGTTCAAATGCCCAAATATTCTGCTCAGATAGAAAATTAAGGTACCACTAAAACATGGTTTTTAATTTTTCTGGATTAACCCACTGTAGAAAAATTATTTATAAGCTTTCAATATTTTTTTTAAATTCAAAACAAATGGACTATAATAAAAATAAGCAAATCAGACTACTTTGATTACAGTGATTAACAAAAGGATTGAAATTTACTACTTTAGTAAAAGTTGGGAATTACGGGGGGAAATATGATAAGAGAATTGCCCCGGGAGGTTATACGAAGATTTAATTTGGGATTTAGCTTTTATAAAACAAATTTTATTTTCTGAGAATAGATATTTTTAACCTGTCAGTATCATTAATACACAAGTTTTAAGATAACTGCTTTTCCTCTCATAAGAAAACATACTTTTTGGCGGTAAATAATTAGTCTTAATCTATGTGTGTTTAATCCAATCTAATAAATAAATGGTCAAACGATATCGCACACATTTTATGGAAAATATAATGTCACACAAAGAACATAAAACTTACATGAATATATTGGTCTCGTAAATCTTTGTTTATTGTCTCGGCCGTTAATGGATTACGTAGACACGCTGTATATTAAAATTAAACACCACAGTAACAAATGCTTGTTATCTAAACCATTGCGATGTTCCGTGCAAAACTGTTGTAACTCTGTTACATTAGAATTATAACAGTTTTGCACTGAACTTATGTACAAAAACGCAAAATAGTTAAACTGTTGTTGTTGTAATATTAAGCCGGTTAAGCATTTGAAAGTTACTAACGTTTTACAGGGGATAGATATGCATGTTTACAATCTAATTCAATGATTACTTCATTTTCATAAAGTTTTGAGTTACTTCTTGCACTGAGGGTGCGATTTATTATTTTTTACGTTTAGAGGTAACTTTACGTTATGCCTCAAAAATTGTTTTTGTTAAGAGCTCTTCTTCTTCTTCAAGTGCCCTGTCCGTTGCGAACGTTGGCTATTAAGATGGCAATTGTGATCTTGTTTGCGGCGCTTCTGAATAGTTCGACCGATGTGAGCCCGAACCACTTCCGCAGATTTTGGAGCAATGAGTGTCTTCTCCTGCCTGGCCCTCGCTTACTGTATATTTTTCCCTGGACAATCAATTGTAGCAGACGGTACTTATCGTGTCTTAATATGTGGCCTAGATATTCAAGCTTTTTTTGTTTAATTGTATTCACGATTTTTTTGTTCTTTTCTCCTTTTTCCTTAAGTTAAGAGCTCAAGTTAAGCTAAGTTATGAGCCCGTTAAGAGCTCAAATCTACAAGTTTTGATTTAAATTTGTATTTAAATGGGCTTTAACCCACAATTATCGGTTGTAATGAAAATCACTTTGTTAATTAATTGTCAAATAACTAATTTTCACTTAGTTTACTTAACTTACTAACGTAACTGTCAGAACCTTACAGTTTCTGACTCGTTTCTGAAATTACCAACCCAACTCTTCAAACACATTTTTTAGTGGTGGCTTAACATTGCGTTCCATTAATTTTCCTGTAATCTGGGGTTTAAGTAAAATATCGACACATTTTGTTACTATATCCAGTAAAAACGTTATTATATTTCTATTGGTTATCGAATATACATAGTTTAGTATAATGTATTGAGTTTGGCACAATTTGTAGTGTAATTCTGTAAAACTGTATTAACGCCACAAAAGGAAAATATTTTAGACGCAGAAACAATGATGAAAAATACAATAAGCAAAATTCCATTGTTATACTGAAATGTTGATCTAAAGAAAGAAAATTGATCTTACTAATTTTTGAATTTTAGTCAAGAACTCTTCTATTTATAGTACTAAAAAATAAAAGTAATCTGCAAAGGGAAAGTATTGCAGTATGAAATCAAAGTTAGGATTATATCTAGACCATTTAGCGATTGTTATGTCATATTCTCTTTTATTTTAGACAATAAAATCTTTTAAAAACCATACCAGGCATATCCCAATACACCAAAAGGGCTAACCTGGCGCGTGCTGGATTCAGAGTAAAAAAGAATACATTTGGACGCATTTATATTCATATCAAAAAAAAAAAAAAAGAAGGTTGTATACATGGAAATCTCCCGGTGATACAACGAATAGAATAATCCGAAATCAAATTGACTTTGTCCTTATTAGACAAACATTTCGTAATTCTATACTGTCTGCCAAAACTTACCCTGGAGCAGACATCGGTTCAGACCATAACCCCATAGTAGTCACATTACGAACCAAATTAAAACTGGTTAAAAAACCCACACAAAGTAAAATTGATATTACGAGATTAAGGGAACCACAAACAAAGGAACAAACTGTAAAAACTCTTACTGAAAATATACTTAATGCCCAAGAAATGAATAAAAGTAGCTATAACATTGATCAGAAATGGGAAAATATAAAAGCAGCAATAATTAAAACAGCAAATGAAAACTTAAAACCAAAGAATAGAAAACATAAAGATTGGATGACTGAAGAAATACTACTATTAATGAATGAAAGAAAATCATTCAAAACAAAAAATCCAATTAAATATAATGAAACTGATCGATTAATAAAAAGAGAATAAAAGAAGCTAAGGAGAGAATGTTACATGAGCAGTGCCAAGAACTAGAAGAAATTGAGAAAAAATATGACTTTTTTAACATGCATAAAAGAATTAGAGAATTAACAGAATGAGAAAACACTTCAACTAGCACTAAGAGATGAAAGGGTGCACTTATAACAGATATAAACCAAAAAATGCAGAGATTGACACAATATATAGCACAACTATTTGAAGACAAAGAAAGAACAGAAGCACCAAAAGAATTTAAGGATGATACTGGGCCTGACATTATACGAGAAGAAATTGAATATGCAATGAAACAAGCTAAAGATGGTAAATCTCCCGGGCCTGATGAAGTTCCTATCGAATTACTTAAAATTGTGAATACTGAATCTATTGATCTTCTTTTGGATCTATTCAATACCATATATAGAACAGGTATAATACCTAAAGAATGGCTCCAATCAACATTCATACTGCTTCCCAAAAAAGCCAATGCAAAGGAGTGCAATGAACATCGCACCATAGCCTTAATGAGTCATGTCTTGAAATTGTTTTTAAAAGTAATTCACAATAGAATACATAAGAAATTAGATGAAGGCATAAGTAATACACAAATGGGATTTAGGAAAGGTCTGGGAACACGAGATGCACTGTTTGCAGTAAGTGTTCTTTCGCAGAGATGCTTAGATATTAATCAGGAAGTATATGCCTGTTTCATTGATTTTGAGAAGGCATTTGACAGAGTGCAGCATAATCGACTTAAAGAAATTTTATTAAATAAAAACATAGACAGTAGAGACATTAGAATCATCTGTAACCTCTATTGGAATCAAACAGCAAAAGTGAAAGTTGAAAACGAACTGACCAAGGATATCCAGATTCGCCGTGGGGTCCGCCAAGGGTGTATTTTATCACCCTTGTTATTCAATTTATACAGTGAAGCCATCTCAGAATTAGCGCTTGCCGAGATCAGTGAGGGCGTTATAATAAACGGTGAGCCACTTAATAACATAAGATATGCTGACGACACCGTCCTTTTGGCAGGAACACTAGAAGAACTGCAACACCTTGCTGAACAACTAAATATATATTGCAACGATTATGGACTAAAAATCAATTTGAAGAAAACCAAGTTCATGGTATTTACAAAAGCACAAAACATCAAAGTTAAGCTAGTACTAGATAATACAGAAATTGAACAAATATCTTCGTACAAATACCTTGGAGCATGGATCACAGAAGATACTGATCAGACAAAAGAAATAAGATGCCGCATTGAAATTCGCGGTCAACTTTTAATAGAATGAGAAAACTTTTTTTGTAATCGCGATATCAATATATCGCTCCGGATAAGAATGCTTCGATGTTATATTTTCTCTACCCTTTTGTATGGAGTTGAAGCTTGGACACTTAAAAAATCCAACATTAAAAACCTAGAAGCATTCGAAATGTGGTGTTACCGACGCATTTTGAAAATATCATGGATGGATCGCAAAACAAACGAACAAGTTCTCGAACAACTAGGAAAACAATGCGAAGTTTTAAATTCCATAAAGATCAGGAAATTGGAATACTTGGGGCACATCATGAGAGGTGAAAAGTACGAACTACTAAGGAATATAATGCAGGGTAAAATCAAAGGTAGAAGAAGCGTAGGAAGACGTAAAATCTCGTGGCTACGCAATCTCCGTGAGTGGTTTGGATGCAGTTCAATTGAACTATTCAGGCGAGTAACCAATAAAATTATAATTGCCAGAATGATTTCCAATCTCCGATAGGAGTGGAACTTGAAGAAGAAGAATATTCATATCGCCCTGATGCCCTACCTACCAACCAAAACCACCCGCTGCTGCAAGGCAAGCAGCAAGTCTTTTCCAAACCGATCTTTCCCGCATGCAATCTTCCTTTATTCACTCGTTTAACTTTGACATCTGTGTTTATGCCTGTTATTGCTATAAGGCATAAATATGTACTTTTGAAATTAACTACAACGTAAAAGGGGTTTTATGTTTTCATATGATCAACGAACCCCCAAACTACTGAGCTACCATTTAACCCATTAATGTCCACCGCTAAGAGAGGAACTAAAAATACCTAAATCCTTTAGTAGCTGATTTTAATTATGATTATAATATTATAAAAAAATATTTTGTACATATTTTTAAATATGGTTTTTAAGAAAAAATGGTGTACCCAACCAGATACACTGTGACAATAAGTATAAAATATACAAAACAAATTTGTACATAATCATATAGCAATATTAAATGCATACAGACCACAAAAAACAAACACAATTAATTATGAGTGAAATA